ACCCCCTTCATGCCCTGCCTGAGTCCTTTTTGTCTCTTTGTCTTATTCACTCATTGGAGACTTTCCTCAAATACATGATGATTCTTACTGATGCACTTGTATGTACATATGGAAAGCCCAGTCCAGACCTCTCAGTGGGAGTGGGATAAGCTCTGTAAGAGGCCTCCCTTTAAAATGACTGGTAGGGAGCAAGTTGTTTCCCGAAACCTGTAAGTGCCAGAACGAAGGGATCTTTCGTCTGGGCCTCTTACATTTCTTTAGCAAAAAATTCTCTGATGTTTTTGTCTGGAGATTGGATGCTGTAAGTGCTTCTCTAGGAGTGGGAGGGAAGGGTATCAAGGCTTAGTACAGACTTAGTTGCAGCCCCACTTCCCTTCCACCCTTCACTGTACTTGGGGTTTCCAAGTCCTAAGTCTCTCTGGCGGTTGGCGGGGTAGATCAGTTACCTCCTTCAGTTGTATTGCCCTCAGCAAGTGTCCCAAGCTGGTATTCCCTCCACCCCACTTTCTCAGTGATCACCTACCCATTTTCTGTCTTCTAGAATTTGCTTATCTTATCCCATCATCGTTATTCATACATTTTGAACCATTTTAACCCATTATCATTTTAGGGGAAGCTCAACCGTTTAAAAAAAAACGTTGCTATGGTTTGATACAGTAGTGCCCTTTCAGAAAGTTATCCTGAAAGTGAATATTGTAAAATGATTTATATATTTGTCAATTATTATTTTACATTGAAAACAACCAAAGTGACCAGTAATAGAATGATTAAATTATGCAGCCACTAAAAGTCATAATTTAAAGAATATTTAAATTATGCAGAACTACAAAATTAAAAGAGAGCCCAGTTTCTTAAAATTTTTATTTATTGAATTTAGAGAGAGGGAGAGAGAGCAAAACATCATTTTGTTGTTCCACTTCCTTACGTATTCATTGGTTGTTTCTTGTATGTGCCCTAATGGGATTGAACCCGTAGCCTTGGTGTATTGGGACAACGCTCCAACCAACTGAGCTACTTGGCTGGGACTGAGACCCAGTTTTCCTAATTGTACACGCATAGAAAAGATCTGAAGGAAATAAGTACATCGGGTATTAACAGTGGTTAAGTTTTCCTGTATTGTCTACATTTTTTACAATGAGCCTGAATCTTTTATCAGGAAAGGGGGAATTAATAAAAGGGGAAGATCACGGCTTGTGCAGAGTGGTGAGATGTTCTTGTGGAGTGTGGAATATGTAGTAGGGAGCAGCAGAGTGTGGAGGCTTGGCTGGTGAAGGAAATCCTGGAGACCACACAGACAGCTTTTGTCAGAGTCCAGAAGAGACCATGGGGTTCTGACCTAGTCACTAGCAGGGGCTCAGAGTAAGGACAGATGGAATGAGTAGGCCTTAGGGGCAAGAAGCAAAATTCCCAAGCCAGACATCCAGACCTCCACATCCTGGTGAGATGTGACCTGTGACAAATGGGGCCTTGCCCAGACCTGACCGTCCCTGGCTTCCTTGGGCCTCAGTGAGGCCACCCTGTGTGTTCACAGTGGCCAACATAACTATGATGTTGGGAGGAGACGAGGGGGGCAACCCAAGGTTGTAACCACCCCATTAGTTGAGGGGCTCCTGTGTGCTAGGCACCATGCTAAATGCCATATGACTTTTATCTCATTTAACCCTCACCTCAGGAGGGAAGTCTTTTTATCCCATTTACAAAGCCAGGAGTCACAGTCAGGATTAGAACAACTCTGAAGCCAAAGCCCCTTTCTCCCAAGATACTTCCTCAGTGTGTCCCCAGGGACCCCTCTCCTTATCTAAAGTTGTGGTGCAAAAGCAAACAATGAAGAGTAAGTCTCCCAACCCAGAGATAACTTCAGTAAAAAATAAAAATAAAAATTGATGGTCCTTCCAGAGATAGTCCATGCAATTGTGATAGTCTGTATCACACCCCCTCCCTACATACAGGAGTTTATGATGCACATTGTCTATACCTTGCTTTTTCACATGTCTTGGAGATATTTCTATATTAGCCTATATAAGATCTACCTCATTCTGTTTTTCACTGCTGTGTGACCTTCCATTGTGTGGATGTGCTGTGATTCACGTAGCGAGTGCCCTGTTGGTGGACATGTAGTTTCTTTCCTGTCTTTTCCTATGACAACAACAACATGCTGAACACCCCGGCACACTCTCCTTTGATATGTGTGCCACTTTGCAGGATAAATTGATAAAGGGTAAGGGCATTTGATATTTTAATAGAAATTGCAACTGTGGTTCCCAGTATGTGTATGAAAATGCCCATTTCCCCGAATCCTCTGTAAAACTATTGTTTGGACTTCTGATCTGATAAGTGAAAAATGCTCTCACGTTTTACGTTCATTTATGAGTGAAACTGGCTATCGTGTCTCGTGCTTAAAAGCCATGTATATTTTCTTTTTGAATTTGCATTGCTTGTTTATGTTCTTTAACAGTTTCTGTTGTGTTGTTGATCTGTTTAAGAAATGATTTGTACAAACTATAGTAAAGAAATTACTCTTTTATTTGCCATATGTGTTGCAAATATTTCCCCCAGTTTATAGTTAGTCCTTTTACCTTAATATTTACAGTTTAGTGTCAAATCAAAGACTTCCCATCTTCAAGACTATACAAGTTCCCATGGCATAACCCTTTGACTAGTCTACTTTGAGATAGGTCCATTTGAAATTCATTTTGGAGTAAGGACCTCTTAGGGTCTTGGCCCCACCTCCGCCCCTTTTCTCCTTGGTTCAGTGAGAGGAACTCAGGTGGAGGACCACCAAGATGAAGACACCTCCCTAGAGCTGCCCAGTGACAGCCTGCAGCCAGGGCCCTGGCAGGTTCACTGAGCCCATCTCATTTGGTGAGCTAGGGGTGGGGTGGGGATTGGGATGGCAGGGGAGAGGGCAGCTGGTGGAGGAAAAGGGAAGGTCCTGAAGGGCAAAGGTGTGCTGAGGGGTGTGGGGGTGGAGATGGGTAGAGAGGATGATGCTGTAGTCAAGCTTTGGGAGGGAAAACAAAGGAGAGGCTGTAGCCTGAGGTCAGTGAGGGGAAGGAGGAGGTTGCAACAAGGATGGGGAGTGATGGGAGTGGTTGGGATGAGGCCAGGGCCTGCAAGGGAAATAGAGGCAATGGGGAAGGGGAAGAGTGGAGACATGGGAGGGGGTGGCAGGCAGGGAAAGGGATCAGACAGTGTGTGTGTGTTTGGGGCAGAAGGGGTTGAAAAGGAGGGGATCAGGCCATGCTTGGGTGGTGTCCAAGACCCTGAGACCCTCCGTTCCTGCCCAGCTGATTTATCTGGCATTGGGTGGATGGGGCATAAACCAGGCCATGTTTCGGGACAAGATGAGTCTCTCAGACCTTGTGGTGGGGAAGCAGCATTCTAGGCTGGCCCTGCCCCTCACTCATCAACAGCCCAGGACAAATCCCTAACCCTTTTGCACATCAGTTCCTTCCCTGACCTCCACTCGGGTTTAAGCTTGGGATGAAGTGGATTTGAAATGTCTTTGTAACCGTTGAAAGGCTGCCTAGTTGCACAGACCTGCCATATTTCAGCTGGAGGACAGGGTCAGAATGGGCAAAAGAAAGCGAAGCCTCAGTTGATTGGAAAGACATTTTTACTTTCACAGTTGATCAGGGGGTACAGTTTCTGGCATAGATGTGGACAGGAGACTCTGAGCAGCCATTCGTTTTTGTCCCCTGGTGGTGGTGGGCCCTGAACTGGGCAGAGACTGAAGCCAGCAAAGGCCTCAGTCTAGCACAGTCCATCCCCAGGAGCTGGGCTGAATCCGTCACCACTGCTGGGAGTTACATATTCACCCAAAACTTCGACAGTAATAAGCAGAGGCCTTGGCTGATGAGGGGATAGGAACAGGTCAGAGAGGGAAGATGTGAAGCCATAACTCAGGTCAACCAAGGTAGAATCTGTTTAGAATGAAGTCCTAAGAGCCACTGTGCTAAGGGAGGAGCCAGATGGTTCTGTGACCCTGAGGCCAGAGCAGCTGTGAGGGGATGTCTCAGGAGGTAAGAATCTGGCAGGAGCAGTTAGATGGCCCCTGAACCCAACAGCTGTCGGGGCTGGAGCGGCTGCCAGAGGCTGGGGTGGGATGGTGAATGGTGTTTACTGTCCCTTCAGGTAACACTTCAGTGTGTGGGGACCTAGATTGGGAAACTTGTCCATTATTCTAACTAAAAAGTAGATCATTCAAGGTTCTTCGTCAGGGGCTTTTAGCAGGTGGGATCTACTAGTCCCTTACAGAGACAGTCCATTGTGACTCCTACCCAGCACCCTTTCCCGCCCTAATGCCCCACCTACAGTTTAATGAGGGACGAGGTCGTCACTGCGTTCCGGGACAACGTAGTATTTCTGGGATATCAGGATGCAGCTGGAGGGAAACCAGGTCAGAATTCCTTTTTTTTTTTTTTTTTAAATAAATTTTATTTTTTAATACATTTTCACATATTTCAGAGAGGAAGGAAAAGGGAGAGAAACATCAATGATTAGAGAGAATCATTGACTGGTTGCCTCCTGCAAGCCCCGCACTGGGGATCGAGCCTACAACCCAGACATGCGGTTTGATTCTTCACCAGGAATCAAACCCAGGAAGAAGAGAGAGAATCATTGATCAGCTGCCCCCTGCACACCCACTACTGGGGATAGAGCCCGCAACTGGGGCATGATGTGCTCCCCACCGGAATCGAACCTGAGACCCTTCAGTCTGCAGGCAGACGCTCTATCCAGCGAGCCAAACCAGCCAGGGCCGAATTCCCTTCTTTAAGGCTCTTGGGGAGATAGATGCTCCTCCTGCTTCCTAGAGAAGCAGCCTAGAGATGCACGAGGGGGAGGGTGTCAGGGCCGCTGGTGACGCACTTCCTGCCGCGCCACTGCCCTTCCGGCCGAGGCAGGTTTCTCTGCGCCCGGGGATTGCTGGCCCGGCTGGCACCGCAGTAACCGCCCCGGGGCAACTCCGGGATCACGGTGAGCGGGCGGGGCCCAGGGAGGGGTGTCAGCGCGGCGGAGGGCCAGGGGGTTAGAGAGGAAGCCTGCGCCGGCCTCGTTCTCCCGGCGGCCTCAGCGCTGCTCTCACGGGGCCCCAGCTCAGGCCGCGGGCCCAGCCCAGAGGAGACGGTTGAGAAGATGGAGTAAATGAACGGGTGATTGAGTGATAGGTAAATGGTCGGAAACGAAACCCCGGGTCTGGGTCTGGATACCACCGACTCCCCCAATCAGTCCTGCAGCCCAGAAGCTTTGTGGGGACCGTGGACTAGGAGACGGCAGATACTGCTAAGCCCACGCGGTGGAGGGTGTCGAGACCTTGGTTATGTAATTCATGGGGCTGCAGAGGCGGTTGGTTGATTTCTACAGTTAGACTGTCTAGTACTCCTTGCCTTCCTTTCTTTCCAAGGCTCAGTTGACAGATTGTATGTTACAGCATGTATGCGGACGTCAATGTCTTCCGTCAAAATTTTACTGTTTATTGCCAAATATTACGCAGAATTCAGGTCACGGAATGAGTGACGTTGGCGCCTGCCAAATGAGAAGATACTTCCGGTCTGGAAGTGTGTGTGTGTGTGTGTGAGAGAGAGACACTGAAGCAGTTGAGCCAATTTATTTAACCTTCTCAGTAACTTATTATCTGTAGTTTTGAAAGAGGAAATTGAGGTACAGAGAATAGATAAGTTGCTAGTAAGTGGCCGAAAGCTGCAGCAGAGATAAATCCACTGTGCAACTGCAGCCTCGGTGAATGGTACTTGGCCAACTAACCAATTCAAGAAGGGCTTCAGAGAAGAGTACATGTAAGTGTGATCTTATTGAAAGAACTGTGGTTTCAAATTCTTGGAAAAAGCTACCTGGCTTGCCCAGAACACTTCAGCTAATTATTGAGGGGATGAAGAGATGGCAGTGGGGAGAAAGCTTACAAGGTAGAGGGTGAAGCCCACGCCCAATTACTGTTTTATCCCACATTTTAATATTTCTAATATCAGAATGTGACTCACCATCTGTACTTCTTTATTTTTTACCATCTGTACTTATACCATAGTTTAGTTGGTAGTGATTTTTCATTTTCTTAGGAACAGTCAGGTGTCTTAGACTCAGTGACATGATATCTGACTTGGATTCTCTGTGCCTGCAGCAGCCAAGGCAGAGCACACCCGGCAGAGTCTTCAGAAGTCGAAGTCAAGGTATCCCTCCATGAATGCCAGCAGAGTCCTCTCCAGTATTGCCTCTAAGAGTCCTGCTGTGTTTTATAGTCCTGTAGCTTCCCAATTACTTTTAACAGGGTGAAACTATTTAAAGCTTCTTTCCTTTTACCTTTCAGTATAATACCCATCTAACCCCAAGTCTGGATTCAAACAGAGTCTTTTTAGCATCTTAAAATCACCAACACTCAGATTATGCCACACTAGGCATTTGTGGAAACACCTGTAATTCCTTTCTGGGGAATTTATCCACAAGAGAGTAGGTAATCTGTGGCTCATGTTTTTGTAAAAAAATAAAATAAAAAATGAAAAAAAATTTTTTTTAAATCCTCACCGGAGAGAGATATTGATTGGTTGCCTTCCGTAACTGGGGCTGAGGATCAACCTGCAACCAAGGCAGTACCCTTGATGGTGCACAGACCGACGCTCTAGCCACTGAGTCACGTTGGCCAGGGCTAAAAATGATTTATTAAAACAGGTAAGTTCATTTGTTTACATATTTCTGGTTCAGTTTTCAGACTGTAAAGGCAAAGTTGAATGGTGACAGAGAGTGAGGCCAATATAACCTAAACAGGAAGACTAAAATACGTACTTTATAGCCCTTTACAGAAAAAAGTTTGCAGTTTGACAGAAACAAACTGCTGACAGCTACGATGATCCACAGTTGGAGAAGGGAGTATTGTCTCCAAGCTGTCTTCTCCTTAGGCCTTAGGATCAAACATAATAACTCTTAACTCCTGTTGAGTGCTTATATTGTGGCAGATCGCCATAAATGTTTTACATTAATTAAGTCATTTATCTAGGATTTACAGAATGTTAGAGCTAGAAGAACTCATGTACATTATCTAATTTGTCACTTTTTTCAGTTAAATAGCCTATCGTGTAGGCCCAATTACATGGGCTATGACATAGCAAAGTTTCCTTCCTGACTGCTAATCCAATCCACTTTAATCTTACTCTTAATGGGAGGCCAATACCATATCCATTTGATCTACCTTTTGTTTTTATTTTATGGTGAGATCTGTCATTTTCAAAAGAATGATTTCTCTGACTATAAAGGTAATGCATGTTTATTGTAGGAAAAGTGAAATATATGAGAGAGTGTAAAGGACAAAGTAACCTATTATGTCCTAGAGATATTATGTCCTAGAGATAACCTATTAAATGTCCTAGAGATCAGTGTGTTAGCATTTGATGGGTTTTCTTCCGTCCTTTGTGTGTGTGTTTGTAAATATCTGTGTATTAATAGTTTCTGTTTATTGAATGCTTACTAATGTTGGTATGCATATTTTTTGTTTTACTGTTTGTATCCTATTCTAATATATTGTATTTTCTCATGAATTGTCTTTGAAAACATGATTTTTAATAGTTTCAAAATGTCATATTTATATGACTTCAGTGTTTTTTGCCTGTTTTTTTTTTTTACAATTATAGTAAGAGGATGATCTTTGTACATAAATCATTGTGCTTCTCTCTGATTATATTTTTCACTTTTCTTCTCATTAGAAGAGTTGTTTATTTTTTTTGGAATACTTTCAAGTATTGCAAAAAGGCCTTAAAGCAAAATTTTCCATAATCTTATTCCTCAGAGATGATCATGGTTAACAATGTGATACATATTGTTAGAGACTTAAGTTAGTTTTAAAAAAATAAGACAAAATGTGATAATTGAAGAAATTTGGGAACTAGAGGGAAAAATCATTCAGAATTTACTAGATCGTTATAGTGATTGAAGATTAATTTTCCTTCTTGGTCTTAGGCATGTGTATATTTTAACATATAGGATGTTATGGTGTACTTGAAATTTTAATATCCTGCATTTTTCCATAAGTATTTTTCCAATTGGTCACGTATTTTTATATTTTACTTTAATCTTAATGCCTATATAATTTCTACCAAGTGGAAATACTATAGCCAAAACCGATTTGGCTCAGTGGATAGAGCGTCGGCCTGCGGACTGAGGGGTCCCAGGTTCGATTCCGGTCAGGGGCATGTGCCTGGGTTGCGGGCACATCCCCAGTGGGAGATGTGCGGGAGGCAGCTGATCGATGTTTCTCTCTCATCGATGTTTCTAACTCTCTATCTCTCTCCCTTCCTCTCTGTATAAAATCAATAAAATATATTAAAAAAAAAAGAAATACTATAATTTGCTAAGCCTCGGTGTCTCATCAATAGAAAATTGTGTTTCCTACAACATTGCAGGGCTTTTTTCTTCTTTTTAGCAGTTAATGAAAGGATTCAGTCATTTTCCTCTCTGGAAAGTTACTTCTCTATGAGAATGCTCTAATAGTGGAATTAGTGGGCCAAACAATATAGGCATTTTTATTACATATACCCATGACTTTGAGCATCTTCTGAGATACACTGCAGGTGTTGTATACTCATAATGAGTATTCTCATCTTAGTTCATACACTCACAAAATGGTGATCACTGGGTCACAAATGCAAATGAATCTACAACTTTAAGATCTGATACTTATTGCCCAAATACCTCTAGAAAGATGGTACCAGTTTACATTCCCACCGGTAATGTGTGAGAAACTTCTTTCCCCTGCACCTTTACTGGACTTAAGTTTTAGCATTAAAGACATTTCAATTTAAAATAAAAATTGATTCTTCAGCCTTGCTGGTTTGGCTCAGGGGATAGAGTGTTAGCCCATGGACTGAATGAAGGGTCTCAGGTTCGATTCTGGTCAAGGACATGTATCTTGGTTGCAGTCCTGAGAAGTCCACAGGACCAGCCTGATTATGTACTTCACCAGGCACAGTCTATTTTTTCATGCCTCTGAGCTCTCAATTATGGTATAAAAAAAAAAAAGTCTCAGTTTTCTTTGAAATAATGCTGCCAATTCTACTTCTCATGTCAAGGTTATATGAAGAATATGAAGAGACATTTTTGGATAAGCTTTTGGAATTTTGACATTCCAAACACCAGAAACTACTTTCATTTTTTCAACTCTTTTATAAGTAAAAAAATTACTTTACAAAGTGTTTTATTTAAACTGAAGCCTTTAAAAATATATATATCTTAATCATTTCACAAAGGGAGGGAGAGATTGCCCTGACCAGGAGTCGAACCATGACCTCCTGGTTCAGAGGTCAATACTCAATTGCTGAGCTACCCCGGCAGGGCTGTATCAGGCTAATGCATTAGCCTTGTTGTGACTCCCCTACAACTTCTCAATTTATTAATTGACTTTTCATACATATTATTGTATAATGGACAGCAGATACATATTAACTTGAATATTCCTGTCCACTTCTTAATTATCTTTACAAATAATATTCTTAATTATTCATCAATTACTTGAGTGTTTGTTATAATATCATTCTGTCTAGCTGTCACTTCTTGGAGAATTGACAGATGGAGTTTGTGAACCTAGAATGTTATAAGCCAACCCTGATTTTTGTTGATGCAGTCACATTGCTCATCTGACAAGTTTTGTGTGAGTCATTTAGTCTCCCTAGGCAACAGCTCTTTCTCATTTTTGTCTACTGGGACAGTGATATCCCATCTCTACCTGTTTCCCTGTGAGCAGGGCTCCCAGTTTTCCAACCTTGAAGTGTTTTATAATTAAAGCAAGGAGAAGATTTGTGGATGTTGAATATGCAAGGAGCTGAAAAGAGAGATTGGAAGATAGATTTTTCTAGGTGAGTTAGCAAGGTACAACCGGTGGGAGAAGCAGCAGGGCTTTGGAAATTTTACAAGAGAAACTGAATGAAGCTCAGGCGATTAAACTATCATCTCTTTAGGGTCGTTGCGGGTAGAACTGGGTATCTCTTGAGGACAACTTTTCCCCTGTACTCATTTTATCTCTTTTCCAGGATTTGCCATTTTACATTCTCCCACTATCCTCCATTCTTTTGATATAAAACATCCATGTTTCCTGTCTTGCCCTAATCATTAGCTTGTTGTTTGTTATTTTCCCCTTATCTCCATTGTCTCTGGTTCTCTCACTCTCTCGGTGTCTGTAGCTGCCCTTTCCATGGAATTCCTAATTAATGGTGATCACCTTATCCTGATATAGATCTCTTCTACCACTTGCAACTTTGAATTAGTTGTCCCACTTGCTTTTTACTGAGACCTGCAAAGTTAAGTCCCAGGACTTCAAGGGCCTTCACTTTGCCATGTATAAGAGAGATTGATTCTGATGGTTTCTTTCAGGTTGGGTGAACAAGTCTGCGCCAATGCAGGATGTCTGTGAAATTGAGTCACTGGGGACAGTAGGAAACAGACTCCAAGAGGATGAATCCCGGGATTCTACATTTGAACAAAAATATGCATGTGAGAGCATGAAGGAAAACTCTCCTGAAGAGGTGCCCAGGTCATGTTTTTTCCAGGAAGGAGGTTTTGGGGGAATAACTTTCATCCAAAAGGAAGCACTTCCTAAAATGATGAGCCAAGAATATAATTTTGAGAAGAGGTTGCTTTTGACCTCAAGCCTTGTTACTCATCTCAGGGTTTCTACAGAAGATAGTCTACATCAGTGGGAGACAAGTAGCATACACACCAATGAGATTTCAAACCAAAGTAAATGCTCAACCCTCTCCATTCGGAAAAAGTCTTGGAAATGTAACGAATGTGGAAAAACATTTACTCAGAGCTCATCCCTTACTCAACATCAGATAACTCATACTGGAGAGAGACCCTATGTATGTGAGGAATGTGGGAAAGCCTTTAGTTGTAATTCATTCCTTGTCCAGCATCAAAGAATACACACTGAAGTGAAACCATACAGATGTGAGCAATGTGGGAAAACATTTCGTTGTCGATCATTTCTTACTCAGCATCAAAGAATCCACACTGGAGAGAAACCTTATAAATGTAATGAATGTGGGAATTCCTTCCGCAATCATTCACATCTCACTGAACATCAGAGAATTCACACTGGAGAAAAACCTTATAAATGTAATAGGTGTGGGAAGGCATTCAATCAGAATACACACCTCATTCATCATCAGAGAATCCACACTGGTGAGAAACCTTATTCGTGCAATGAATGTGGCTCTTCTTTTCGTAAACACTCAAACCTTATACAACATCAGAGAATTCACACGGGAGAAAAACCCCATAAATGTGATGATTGCGGGAAAACTTTTCAAACAAAGGCAAATCTTTCTCAGCATCAGAGAATTCATACTGGAGAGAAACCCTATAAATGTAAGGAATGTGGAAAAGCTTTTTGTCAGAGTCCATCACTTATTAAACACCTGCGAATTCATACTGGAGAGAAACCTTATAAATGTAAAGAATGTGGCAAAGCTTTTACTCAGAGTACCCCACTCACAAAACATCAGAGAATTCACACAGGGGAGAGACCCTACAAATGCAGTGAATGTGGTAAAGCTTTCATTCAGAGCATTTGTCTTATTCGGCATCGGAGAAGTCACACTGGAGAAAAACCGTATAAATGCAATGAATGTGGGAAAGGGTTCAATCAGAATACCTGCCTCACTCAGCACATGAGAATTCACACTGGAGAGAAGCCCTATAAATGTAAAGAATGTGGGAAAGCCTTTGCTCATAGCTCATCTCTTACTGAACATCATAGAACTCACACTGGTGAGAAGCTCTTTAAATGTAGTGAGTGTGAGAAAACCTTCCGCAAGTATGCACACCTTAGCGAACATTACAGGATTCACACTGGTGAGAAGCCTTATGAATGCATTGAATGTGGAAAATTCTTCAGACATAGTTCAGTGCTTTTCAGACATCAGAAACTTCACAGAGGTGAATGAACCTGGCATTAGGTAATAGCAGTTTCTCAAGAAACAGTGGCTAGGAATCTGGCTGAGGAGTGGGGACAGGTATAGTTCCTGGAAGGAAGGATGAAATAGCCTTAAATGCTGCCCTCATAAGAGTATTTCCAGAAATATATGTAGGGGGTTAGAGAATGCAGAGCCTAGGTGGGCATCTGGGAGTACAGGGTAGAAAGGAAGTTCCTGCTTTTCAGATAAATCCTTGCTGCTTGCCACTGCTCTCTTCTTATGTGACTCTCAAACCTTGAGGTGCCATTTGTTAAGTTAGTGTCTGTCTTTCCCTTACTACACTCACCTATCTTCCCAAATTGTCATGTATGTTCACTCACCAGTTGGCTTAGATGCTTTTCCAAACTCTCATTTTGAAAGTGGCAGCAGTTTAAGGTAGTGCTAAGTAGCCTCTAGATTTCTGAGGCACCTCTGACCATGTTACTGTGGGGGAAGCTGCTCACCCTGTGGAAGTGGTCCCATAAAGGGGAGACAGAAACAAGTGAAAGATGGTCCATATTCATTTACCAATGAGATATGGACCAAGAACGGGTGATCTCAACATGTACGTTGGTAAAGAAGGCTTTTATCAGAATGAGGGAGATCTTTCCTGATCCTATTAAGCTGAAGAAAGAAATAGGTCAAGAGAGACTTTTCTTGAATGATGCCACTTCTGGGAAGGCCATGGGGAGGAAGGCCCAACCTCTGTTCGAGAGAAACAGTAGCTTATCCAGGATGGAAATGTCCTGTGCTTGGCTAGTGATCATAAGCCACAGAGCAGGAAACCTGCTTATGCCTGAGCAAGCCATCAGCATACCACTGGCCTAGACAGAGGTGTACACCTTTCTCTTGAGCTTATAAATGTGGCTGGGTTACTGGTTCACAGGGAATCGGGGAGAGGAACCCACTAAGATTAACTGTCTAAACCAAATGGAATTCAACTCAGTTTGTTTGCCTTTAAGGAGAAGAAAGCGTTAGCGAAGAAGGAAGACAGCCTTTTAGATTGGCTGGAGTTGGGGGATGCTGCACCAGGCCTAATGAAAGTGTTGGTCACTAGTTGGGAGGGCTAGGTTTCATGTAATTATGCCACTTGGTGGTATAATACAGATTTGTTAGGTCTCAGGTGTTTCTAATTTTATTGGGCATATGTTGTCCTGGATATTTACCCTTAGGTACAGATTAGGAGTATCTAGGGCAGTGATTGCGAACCTATGACATGCGTGTCAGAGGTGACACGCGAACTCATTTTTTTTGGTTGATTTTTCTGTTAAATGGCATTTAAATATATAAAATAAATATCAAAAATATGAGTCTTTGTTTTACTATGGTTGCAAATATAAAAAAAATTCTATATGTGACACCGCACCAGAGTTAAGTTAGAGTTTTTCAAAATGCTGACACACCGAGCT